CCTTGGAGACAGGCGAGATTTTCAGTTTGTGTACTGCAGGGATTTGCGGAAACCGTCGTACAGACGTGTGAAAGCAGTTACACTGAGATGTGGCCGCAGTTGCGCAAAAGGGGTTCTAAACATTTTCCTTTTGAGGGTTTGTAACGTGTTCGAGGGTGCTAGAACAATTCTTTCTTTTCGTACTGTGATTGGTTTTGGAATCGGATGTGCACATTTTTGTGGAAGTCAACTTTTCAGCTAGCAGCTCGTGTGATTCGTGTGCTCGTTTTGCTGTGTCTTGACTCAAGCTGGTTCAGATCGCTTTGCGCGTTCGAACTTGTCCATTTGTTGCCTGTGAGAGATATGGCAAACACCATGAGCGCTGAGAATCCGGTACCCGCGGCGGTTCTGGCAGATGATGAAGTTCCTGAGCCTCACACCCCAGCACGTACTGAGGAGGTACCAGTGCCAAAAGCACCAGGACCGAATCCAATTCCTCTTTCAGAAGTTCCATCTGTTGAAGGAATGGACGGAAACACCGTCCACGGGGTGTTGCTCGCTTCTTTGGATTTGGAAGAAGTTGGACTTGAAATTCTTCAGCGCATGAACTTGGGCCGTGCTGAAGCTGGAGAGCATCTTTTGAAATCCATTTCCTTCGATGTCTCGAAAGGAGAGGCGGAAAGATGGCATCGCTCAGCGAATGCCACACTCGACAGAATCCACCAACAACTGCAAAGTGACATCGAATTGATTCAACGATTCAAAGGTGCCAATCCAGAGTCCAGAGTTGGAGCTCGACAGCATCCTTTTGCCCGAGGAGCGCGGTGCGCACGAGGGGAAGTCGATTGTGGAGCTTCGCATTTTGTTGCAAGCAGCCAACCTCTGGTACGCCTGCCTTCGGGACGGTGGCGTGTTCTGGAGCTGGGTTTACTTCGAGCAGTTAGTAAACCCAGAAGGTGAAATGGGCGAATTGCCCAGGTCCAGCGGCGAGAGCACATCCAAAGAGAGGGACGCTCTCCAAGATATACTCAGGTGGACCATTGGCCGCCTTGCCAAGCTCACAGACGTGGTGGGCGAGTTGTCCAATTACTTGTCCACTGTGGGAGAAATGGAGGCCACCAGCAAGCAGCGGATGGAGGATATGATGAAGAAAATTCAGGAAATGGCAAACGCCGTTGTTGGGTTGGGCTCTTCCCATCGGTATGTAGCCGACGAAACGGCTAAGAACCACCGGACTGAGCTCAAGCATTTAGAGAATTTAGCGTGGCAAGTCGGAGGTTCCGGCAAGGGCGTAAATACGTCCTTGAAGGAAACAGTGACAGGACTGGGCCGCGTATTAGGCCAAATCGACGGCCAGTTGACCCGGCATTCCAAGAGCATGGAGGAGAGCAACAAGCACATGGCTGCTGCGGTGGAGAACCTTGTGGAGATCAAGACTGGGATTCAGGCTTTGATCCAGAAGGCTACTTTCAGTGGCAGTGGAGGAACCCACGACTCCAATTCCTCCTGTGAATCCTGTGCCCAAGTTCCCACCGCCACCTCCAGTTCCTCCTGTGGCCCCTGTGGCACCTATGGCGCCTGTGCAGCCGAAGAATATGCCGATCCCACCCATGGCTGGGCATGTTCAGCCGGCAGCCAATGTGTCAGGGTCGGCCCCATCAAGCGGACTTCCAACTCCAGGTGGAGCCTGCGGATCTGGTGTGGCATCAGGTTCGATTGGGCCTCAATGGGCAAAGGTCTATAAAAGGATGAGGACGGAGAGTGGGAATTACGTGTTGGTGGAAGCAGAGAATCCTGAGATCTAAAGGATCTGTAGCTAGGTGGAGAGCTGGGAATGTAAGATTCCAAGCAGGTCCACTAGCCTGTACTGCGACCAGCCAGCCTTTTGAAAAGAGGGTTTCAGCAGAGATTCAATTGCTCTTCAACTTGTGTCTTTTAGGTTTGAATTGATTTGATGGCACTTCAACTCTGTCTTGTGAGCTTGGGGAGATTCTTGTTGAGTTGATGAGGTTGGACTTTGCTGAATGCACCAAGGTTGGAACGCCAAGAATGCCCGAAACCGAGAGAGATTGATGCACGATCACGACAAACAGTAGCAAAGGGTTTGAAACTAGAGGGATTGACTGGACTCCTTTGTTTGCTGTGGATTTGGACTTGAAACTTTTGCAGTGATTCCATGTCCAGTCGATTGGTTGCAATTGAAGGTAAGTAAAAGGGTTTTGAACCCAAGATGTGCTTCAGAAGATGGCAGTCAAACAGTAACCAAGGGCTTGTAGCTAGAGGGTTGAAGCTAGATTCCTTTTTGCTTGCTGTTTGGAGCTTTGTGCACTTTTGGACTTGGCAGGTTTTGTCACGATGAGCGTTTGTCGTTTTGACCTGTCAGGTGTTCACTTGAAAGCAATTGGCTTTCAAGGTCCCAATGATGAAAAGTGCATGAGCCAGGAGTCATCACTGTGAGACTCCTAAGGCCATGCCTTCTGAGGGATGTTGACCAGTTTTGTTGTTGTCTTGCTTGGTTGAACCTTGGTCGATTGAGTTGAAGCTTGGTTGATGCTTGCTGACTGGAGTTTGTTGACGATTGATCGACCTGGAGACCATTTTGGAAGACAGGAGTTGAGATCTTAGTTGACGCTCAGAGAAAACGAATTGAAGAGAAGAAGAAGACAGGAAGAACCAGGAGAAGATACGAGGTGGCCCAAGAAGGGGTGTGAAAAGTGTGGGTAGCACGCCTGTACAGTGTGTGGATCACCTAGTACCTCTTTGTAGTGGAACTTTTTGTTTTTCTGTCCTTGGGGTTGGAGCTGTGTTGGGATCTTCCTCCTGGGAGTGTGTTCTCTTTGACCACCTTAGCAGGACTAAGTGGAATGTGACCAGAAGTGGCTAGGAGCATGTCTAGAGAAGCCCTAAGTAGAGAGCTGTAGTGCTTGAGATGAGCTGTGTATAGCTTAGGTTTGCTTGAGAGTGTTTTGAGATGCTTTCTTGTACTTTGAGTATGTTTTGGTCGACTGTGACCAGTCAGACCTCTTCAGAAGAAGAGTGGATGAACAGAGATACAGTCAAGCCGACTGTAACGTTTGGCTCAAGAGCGGGATTCAAAAAGGGGACGCTACTGCTTCCGTGTTTTCACATTATTGGCATCTAGAATTCCCTGCTCATATGCTCTCGCCAGGCGTGGCGTTGCTGGCAGGGCTGGTCGATCTGCGCACTCAGACTGTTTGTCGCTTGACCCATCAGTGGCAATTGGCAATGAAAAGAATGGCCTGTTGCTCCAAAGCACTTGGTTGAAGAGGAAATTGGCTCGAAAACGATGCAATCAAACAGGGGACTGAGCGCCATCTTTCAGGATCTTGCAGCCCCCGCTCCAAGCTCAATTCACAGTGGTTGTTTTTTCAGGATTGAAGGCCGCACGTGCTCGGAGCGTTCTCTTCCGCCAAAGAATCAGTGTGGAGCTTGTGTGCAATTGGAGCTGTTCCTCTCAGGACGTGTGCTTGTCTCAAAAGTTCAAAGCAGCAAACTTGCGGAGTGCTGGTGGGGTGCTTTTGCGCACAACCTTTTCCGCATTGCAGTGGGCCTGCGTGTCCAGGCCTTGCACCTGTGTTTGCGTCATTGTTGATTCGGAGAGGCAGAGGCAATCCAACAGGCAAGGGTCTCCAGTTGCGAGTGTGAATGGTGGGCAGGTATGCATTGCAAAACCACTGCAGAGGGAGCCCATTGCGCCAAACAAGAAGGCTCACAGTTTCCAGCAGTGCGGCCTACTCATGGCAACAGCTTGCTCGGTTGTTCACTTGTGATCATGTCTTCATGCAGAATGCAGCTTCCCTCCCCCAGAGGAAAGAGGCAGAGCAACATGGCAACCTTGCGGCGGTGTATCTCAAACAGGCTGGACAAAAAGACAAGGTGGCAGCAACGAGTGGTTCCTTGATGAAGCATGCAAGGCTCCGGTTGTGCAATGAAACAGAGTGAAACTACGCCGAACCACACCGAAAATTCTGGACTCGCCTTTAGGACAAGGACTGAGGTTCTCGCCTGGAAAGTGGCGTGGTGTATGCACATGTCTGTGGTCGCTTTCGTGGTGGGTGACTGGTCCTCCGAAGAGAGGTTTCTGTCCATCATCAAAGACATCAGAGTCTTCTCCGAGCAGGTCAATCCACGTTGGAAGGTCAAAATTGGCGCCTCACCCACGTTCGTTCGTGCCGTGATTAGATTGTTAGGTCACTGCATCGCACCATGAAGGGGAACTTTGAGCTTTGCAATGTATAGCAACCCTCCTGTATATACATGGTTTATGTTCAACTTTACTTTTGGTTCAAGTGGTAAAAGCGTCCCCTGCCGTTGCCCTTTTGCCAGTCACGTCGCGTGAAATTTTTACTTGTTGTTGTTGTTGTTGTTGTTGTTCTTGTTCTTGTTGGGGCTTTGGTTTCCGGCTCAAGTATGTTTTGGTAAAGCGGCTTGCGAAACGAAGAGGTGTCACAACATATCAGTATCAAAGCTATGCGAGGCTGGTGGTTTACGATTTTTTTGTGTCGGCTTAAAGAGGGATGTTTTAGTTGTATATTCGGAGAAGGGTTGATCGATACATGCGTCTTGACTGAAGCAACTTACTGTGTGCAGTTGCGACACTGTTTTTACACGTGTTCAACATTTTCAAGAACGTTGGTTTGCCACGTGATGCTGTCAAAACCACTGTGGCCCTGCATCCCTGGTTGAGATGTATGACCAGCAACAGACATGCACCTTATGACACCTGATTTTTTCAACGGGTTAATGTCTTTGGTTTTGTTCCGAAATTGGCCTATCTGGCTGTACTCAAAAAAACGACTGTGAGGCTTTTTGAAGACTTGCTGGTCGTCGCCCAGGTGGAGACGGCAATCGTTGAACCTGTTTACCGCAAAGAAAGCCCAGAAATGACATCTTTGCATAAAGTCGGAAATAAAGAAACCTTCATCCCACGCATATCAATGACACAGGAACATTCTTCCCCCAGCAGTACACACATGTGCTTTTGGCACTGCCCATGGTATCAATGGAACCGAAACCAATGGCCAATGGTTTTGCATTCCCAAAAACCTACACCCACCTTTTTGCAACAATTTGGTTCACTTCTTCGTGGCTGCTTTTATGCGTTCCACCATGACATGTTCCTTACTTTGTTGATATTGCATCGTGCAGGCGCCGGCCCCGGAAAACCGGGCCGCAAAAAAACCAGAGGCTGTACGTCAACCAGAGGAATGCTGACTCTGAGTTTCAGACGTTTTTGATGGACACCTTGATTGATGTTGGTCGATACAATGTTTTGGATGTTTTGTTGGTCAGAAGTGCGAGGGCGTGAGGATGTTGCGGCTCTCCTGTCGGCTCAAAAGAATGGAGCCGTTTCTTTCCTTTTAGACTTAGACATTTGACGCATCTAAGACGACATGTTCAAGACGGGGGGGGGCCGAAATGGATCCGAGATGTGGATCCTCAAAATCCTCAGAATCCTTGTTCCAATCCACTCCGGGCAGTTTAGCCAAGAGAGCCGCGTGGGGTGTTTCGACGCCCAGGCATGCGTTGCTCTCCACACGCATGGGCTGTGGGGTTCCATCTTTGGGAAGTCCTGAGAAACCCGGATGAAAATGGTGATGTTTGTTCGTAGGGTGTGGAAGAAGGCGATGTTCCTTCCAACGGTGCCAACCAGTTGCATAGTTTCTTCAAGTTGGTTTGATCAGTGATGATGTCTGCAGCATGGAGATTCCCTCCACACTTGGAGTTGGTCTGGGCGATTGGGAAGGAGAATTCACAAGGTAAATTCACACCCAGCACTACCCCCAATCATCTCCCATGTATGCCAATGAGTTCTTTGTTTGGCGTCCATCATGTCAGCCAAAGACGAGTTCATCACTACGTCATCAGGTCCCACCCACACCACCTGTTCTACTCGCCTCTCAAACATGGCGAGCGATGACGTTTTCGTGACAAATGCTTCTTGGAATATGTTTTGGATGAGAATCATGCAAGTATGCCAAACCAAACATATTCCAAACATTTGTTTTCTTCCATCGAACATATGACTTCTTGGGCATGTTTGGATGATTTTTCGTGGAACACATGCCCAACCCTCGGGGGGGATTGTTTTATATTTTTTTCTTTGCGTTTCGTTGAAACTCTTCCAGTGGCGGAGCAGCACACGCGGTCCGGGACCTCCCTTTTTGGTCCTTTTCGCGATCTTCGAGAGGTGGGCTACACCGGAGACGGAATGAACTGCGGCCGTGGGGGATGCGGGTTCAACTCTTCATGCGGCCGCGTGGGATACACTTAGCCGCGGAGAAGATGGGATGGCTTTTTCTGCTTTCGAGACTCTGCGAAGCGATCCTCGAAATGAGCATCCATTTGGGGCTCCAAATAAGGAAAGTATCCGCATCCAAAGCATCCAAGGCCAGACATATAGACGATGTTGTTGTTGGTTCTGTTAGGGCGTTCGCCACATGAAAATTGCATCTCTTGGCGCATTTCCGGTGATTTTTTTGGAATCGCGAGGGCTTGTCCGTTTGGAGGTCTTAGTCGAAGA